AAAACGTTTTTTTTAGGCCCCTAAATAAATCAATATAAGTTTAAGTTTATGCAAATTGACAGTGTTTGCAAGAGGGTGCCATGCTAATTGGCGGCCTGTTCTAGCTTGCTCACTTTGAATAACCAGATACTGAAAAACATTGAAAATTGAGATTAGCTATACTAATAACTAAATAAAGTAGTAATTTTCCCAACTTATTTTTTCCAATATCTGGTGGCTTCAAGGTGAGCATACATTAAGGCTTCAGATCCTCGTAGGAAACGTATATTGAGCTGCCTCGTGGCATGCTAAAGCATCCATAGTCCCGTCACATACAACATATAAGAACATGACATGTATATACATAGCAAAAATAAATACATATGTAATGTAAATCAATATCAGTTAGGTATACGCTATATTAAGAATATTTTCCGAAATGTATATTGAGCTGCCTCGTGGCATGCTAAAGTAGTGGAAAATATTCTTAATATAGCATATACCTAACTGATATTGATTTACATTACATATGTATTTATTTTTGCTATGTATATACATGTAATGTTCTTATATGTTGTATATGACAGGACTATGGATGGAAATTAGCTCAAAGCTAAAATCCGGCTCATTTACACTTGTAAGCATTATTTTGTTTTAAAGTGTTCATCAATGTGCACTGTCCCGATTCAAACGATTAAATGAAAATGAAATGACATTTTTTTAAGTCGGTCCTTTGGTAGGTGTTGCTGTCACCCCCTAACAAAGCAGCACATTGTTGCCAATGCATCCACTTAAGGTAATACACTCATTATGTATTATTTTTAGTGTATTATACCTTATACAACTCCGCTTTCAAACATCCAAGCTGTCCCCTTTATCTACAAATGGGATGTCTTGGTTTCCTACTTTTTAAGTTACATTCTTTTAATTATATTGGATATAGTGTGATGTGCGTCTTCATGCATTATCCACAGACTATTTCCTGGCTTGGAGCCGAATGCTATTTCTTGGACGATTGGGTGCATTTGGTAGCTGAGCCTACATACCTGAACAAATTGCTCCAGCACCACAAACACCTTGGGCATTTAGAGCAACATGGTAAGTCCCTTTGCACAACAGCATCTTTTATCTTTCACTTAGAGAGCTCTATGATGATACCTTTTGTGTTATTTTTGTATTTTTCTGTGCAGTTCCACCTTCTAGCATGGACAACGGCATCCTGTCCTCCCTCTCTGCAATTCCCCCCAGTAGAGTGGCAAAACCTAAAGAACATCCCGACCAATCAGATCTACTGCAAGGCCTCAGTGATGACAGGCACACTGCATCGTTCGTGAATGACGTAGCAGTTGAAATAATCACAGTGACGGATTACGCAGAGGTCGAATTAGACACAAGCGATGACATCAAGGTGGTGATGGGCGAAAACAGCTTTGAAGGAACGGACACTAGCATGGTGCCTGAAGATTCGCTGGTAGTGCTTCCTGCAGAGACAACAATGGAAGAAGAAGTGGCTGAAGCAAGGGAAGAAGCAATACAACCAAAATATTTAAGCAGTTTGGAAAACTCAATCCATTCAGAGGATAACGACAACGTTCTGGCACCTTCCCAACAAGAAATCTCGGTTGGACTTAATGACTGCCCAGACTGCGAGAAGAAATTTAAGTTTGCCTCTTCGCTAATCGCCCACAGGGTCATCCACACTGGTGAACGCCCCCATCGGTGCAATGACTGCGGTCGCTGCTTCTCTTTCAGGCAGTCTCTTGACAGACACAGACACACGCACAAAACTGGACAAAAGTACAGCTGCCGGATCTGCAGAGAGACCTTCCACTCTCTGTCAGCCCGCACAGAGCACAAGCAGACACACATGGAAGACGGCGTTTACATGTGTGATCAATGCAACAAGACATTTAACTGGGAGCTGGCCCTCGCAAGGCACGTGAAAACTCACACTGATGATCACAATGCAAATAATCTGCCTGAGAGCCATAATGATGGGCTTGAGGTGGTTTTAGATAACGGCAATGTGAGTGTTGATAACGCAGATCCTGATCCAGAGAACGCAGAGGTTCAGAGCAGTGAGCCTCCCACCTCTGAGCCTGAAGGCACGGCCCCTGAACTTGACAATGAAGTCGTTTCCCTAGTGAAGGTCCGCACAAGTGGCCGCAAACGCAAACCCACCATGAAGATCCGGGTGATAAATTTACAAAAGCACATGGCCACTAAAAGAAGGATGGATATCACCAAGGCCAACCCCCCAGACCTGAAGCCTTCGCCTTTCACTTGGTAAAAACCCGTTCTATTGTCTCACAAATGTTTTTTCTTGAGATCCTGTTTTTAGGACAGGATTAGTAAATTGAATGTAATATATAATATCCTGATCAAACGTTTCATCTCATTTTCTCCTGTCTCTTTAACAGTGCTGAGCACTCTTATGGGTCATCCATGGTCTCATCGAAGGACGGTGATGAGAGTGAGTTCACTTTTATAAATATATTCTATTGATCTTTCACAATCACAGTTATTACAAGGACTTAAACGCCACATAACATATACAATAATGTATTCGCTATACTAAAGTGAAATTGCTTGAATGAGTACAATTTGCATGAGATAAAAGATGGATTTATTTCTTGAAATATTGGTAAACTAATGTAAATAAAAGAAGTCAGACAAAAAGAGAAAATAAACTACAAAGTCATGCATGCTGAAATAACCTGTAATGACAGTAACCTGCCTAATATGTAAATGGTATTGTCAGCATCACCATAGTTAAAGGTCTTTTACGTTGAATGTCCTTAAGTGCTTTGAAAGGCTGCTTTATTATATATTGGATACATTACAGGTCAATATTGCACAGCTTTTAAAACTTATTTTTACAAGAACATTTCCAACTGATTCTTTGCAATCCTTTTTTAGTTCTCGACACAAACACGCATTTTAAAAGGTTTTTCGCCTGCCGTCTTGTCTGCAGACTTGTCAAAGCATTTATTCATGGTTTTTAATTATGGTTGTATTTTGAAACGTGTATTACAATTAAATCACGGTAAAATATGTTCTTTTTGTTGTAGTTGCCAGCAATTCTCTCACTAGTTTAGCATACTCAGCCCGGTTGTTGGCCCGGAAAGAACCTCGATTTTGGAGAGCCAGAAAAACTGTGAAAAAGTACCCGCTAGCCGGAACTACGCCTAGTGGAAACGCAACCAAAAACAACCACGCTCCGCGCTGTAGTGGAAATGCGCCATTAAATCCCTTTTGATGGCTCTAAGAAAAACTCCTAACACTGTTATTCTATTTTTCAAACAGGTTTTGTGGCAGATGGCTCATCGACTGGGATCCACTGTCCTAAGTGCTCCTTTCAGCACACAGAAGAAGCAAAGGTCCAGCAGCACATTGAAAAAATCCACTCTGTTGAGGCTGAGGATGACGAGATGTCCTTTCAGCCCCTTACAGATGAAGAGGGACGTTTTAGTTGTGCTGACTGTGAGAAGAGCTTTAAGTTCCAGTCCTTACTGAAAGCCCATCAGCGCATCCACACAGGCGAGCAGCCCTTCTTGTGTTCTCAATGCGGACGGCGGTTCTCCTTCAAACAGTCGCTGGAGAGGCACAGGCAGACGCACAAGTCGGGGCGCAGGTATGAGTGCCTGATCTGCGGGGAGGTCTTTAAGTCGCTGGTGGCTCAGAGGGAGCACAAGAGCACCCACATGGAGAACGGCGAGTATCTGTGTTCAGAGTGTGGCCGGGCGTTTGCCTGGAAGTCTGCACTTGTAAGACACCTAAAAACGCACGGCGAGGATGCTGACAAGGTGGAGCTCTCTTACAAATGCCCTCGCTGTGACCTGGGCTTCAGATGTGCCAGCTACCTCAACAGGCACCTCCAAACTCACCAGGAAGAAAGAGTGCACACCTGCAACTGCGGGAAGAGCTTCGCCTACCGGGCAGCTCTCACCGCACATCAGCGCATCCATCAAAAGGAGCGGCCGCACATATGCACACAGTGTGGCAAAGGATTTCTCTACAATGGTGGTTTGCTGAGCCACATGAAGATCCACTCAGAGGAAATGCCCTTCATGTGTTCTTTCTGTGGCAAAAGCTTCAAGAGGGAACGGAACATGAAGAAGCACGAGCGGTGCCACACCAGGGAAAACGTTTTCAGCTGCTCGCAGTGTGACAAGAGTTTTGTCTATAAGGCGACGTTGATAAGACACGAGCTGACTCATTCAGGCGAGCGGCCATTCCTCTGCTCTGACTGCGGGAAGGGCTTCTTTTCCCACGCCGAGCTTCTGAAGCACGAACGTTTCCACACGGGCCACAAGCCCTTTCAGTGCCCCCACTGTGGCAAGAGATTCACTCAGTCGTGCTACCTGACCATACATCTGCGCTACCACACCGGAGTCCGGCCGTACTCGTGCACCGATTGTGACAAGAGCTTCCTCAGTGCCAACCGCCTGAAGAGGCACCAGCGAACACATTCAGGGGAAAAACCATACCTCTGTGTCGAGTGTGGGAAGGGGTTCAGACAGTCGTACAATCTCAAAATGCATCAACGGACACATAGCATGAAGTTAACATAGTCAAGGTTTTTAATTTGAGATTGAATATTTAATATTTTGAAGGGTATAGTTTGACGCTATAGATTAGAATAGGACAAAAAGTAACTGTACTTAGATTATGACTTTATATTGTTTAGAAAATGTGTTCTAGCTACAGCTCTGGAAACAATTAAGCATTGCTTACACTGCAGCATTATCAGTTTCTCTGGTTTTACTATTTATAGTAAAATGAACATTTCAATTTTATTTTATGAACTACTGACAACATTTCTGTGTTGGAATTCAACAGACACTGGAATGGAATGGTTACCATATATGTAGAGATTGAGATTTAAGAAAAATGTTTCAATCTTTCCCTGAGCTGTAGATTTAAGCACACTGAGCAGAGGAATGTGTTATTTTCAGTTGCATTGTGGTGTAGCTAATCTGTCCAATCATCTTGAGTCAGTCATCAAATAACGAACAGAATAAAGTTTTACATAAATCCAATCTTTATTGTGAGCATGTTTTACAAAAAAATAAATTGAACACTGCTTTGGAAAAGAAGCTTCAAACATAATGGGCTTTAACACATCACAACCATCGCAAAAGTGGTTTAGTTTCAGACAGCAACACACAAACATACTGCAGTAAAGCATGGAGGCTTGTTTGTAGCCAGTTACGGGTCACTGTTGAAAAACTGTTTTGTCTTTTACTCTCTTTATGCTCGCCTCAAAGGTTTTTGTTTTCCACTATTCGCATTTAGCTTCTTGGTAAAGCAACGCCGAACAAACTCAACAAACTGGAGAGCCTCTAAACCTTTTATCAGTAACCAAACCGGAACGCGCTTTGTCAATGATTAGGTGTTTTGTTTTAATGACAGACTTTAATTGCATTAACAGGATAAATGGGCGTTGTGCTTTGGAGTCATTATTTGAAGGTTTCATGTGAAAACTTTGATTTAAAAGTACTACACATCTAAGCTCCTGCCTAGCCTACTGAAATAGTGAGTTTTGACAGCACATGTAAGAACACCTCACTCTATCAAACACTGGTATACGTGATAGTTTCACCCGATTCTGAATGGCAGTAGTAAGAAAACGGTAAAGGTCATGTAAAACTTTGAGCTACACAGCTATGTGCAGGCTGATGGGGCAGTGGTCGCTTCCCAAGGCCTTGTTGCGGATCTTGCAGTCGCACAGGCCCGGCAGCAGGCTGGACGACAGCACGAAGTAATCGAGCCTCCAGCCCACGTTCTTGGAGCGGGAGTTCATCATGTAGGTCCAGAAGGTGTAGGCGTTGGTCTGCTCCGGGTAGAGCTCGCGGAAGCTGTCGGTGAAACCGGACTCTAGCAGTTGGGTGAAGCCTTCGCGCTCGTCAGGGGTGAAGCCTGCGTTTTTCTTGTTCCCCTTGGGGTTCTTCAGGTCGATCTCCTGGTGTGCGACATTAAGGTCACCACACAGCACTAGGGGCTTCTGTATGTCCAGCTCGCTCAGGTACGCCCGGAAGTCCACGTCCCAGGTTTTGCGGTAATCTAGGCGCACAAGGCCTCTGCCGGAGTTTGGCACATAGGTGGTCACCAGGTAAAAGGTGGGGAACTCGGCAGTGATGACACGGCCCTCCTTGTCATGCTCTTCTTTACCTGGAGAAAGGTAGAGAAGGTTCAGTTTAAGTTGTATTCAGTTCCAGTAATACAAAAGTGCAAAGGCAACAAGTTTGAATTTGACAGGGATTATGTGCAGCATGTTGGAGCAGTTGCATCACAACCAGTGGAGACTTTAAGAAATGACTGCCCCCAGTTTGTAGCTGTACTTGGCAAACTCAGTTAAAATGATGCCCTGCATTTGAAAGATTATTAAAAGCCCATGGTTTAAATGAAAACAGTTAAAGACACCACTCACCAATGCCATAGGTGACCTTGATGGGTTCAGTCTTGCAGAGCATGGCCACACCACTGTAACCCTCCTTTTCATCGGACGATGCCCAATATTTGTAAGGATACTCGGGCATGGATGTGATGGCAGCAGGGAGGGACTTTTCTGCACACTTTGTCTCCTGCAGACACAAAACATCTGGAGACTCCTCACGCACCCACTGGAAGGGAGAACACAAGCATTTTCCATTAAAACCAATCTGAATACTTAACTCAGGAAATCCTTTATGTTGCTTATATTCATTGTTAACTCACATCCAGGCCATTCTTTTTCACCCATGCCCTCAGACCGTCGACGTTCCAGGAAGTGATCTTCATGTTGGCTTCACGTCCATCTTTGCAGGTCATTTTGTCCGGAGGATCCTCGTACAGTATCGGGGCCTCTGGCTCTTTCGCCTTCTTTGTTTTCTTTGCTGAAGCTATCAGGTGAAATAAAGACATAGGGTCAGGCCACATATTTAAGTCAGGACAATGTGTGTAAGGGTTTTAATGTAGAGAACAGCTGTAGTACCAGAGCCTGTGTCATTTTCCTCATCTGCAGCTGCATCCTCTGTCTTCTTTCCTCTCTTCATACTTAAATTGGCCCTGGCTCCAAACACACTTTGCAGACACACAACACGCACACACAACAGCACACGAGCCGCTGGAAAAACAAAACAGATTGTTATAGAAGTGGCAAATGCTATAACAACACACAAGTCAGAAACTCAACTGTCATCAAGGCCAACAAATCTGCAGGTTTAACTGTAGAGAAAGAAATTGCTTTTTTTGTTCTGTATCATTGTGCTTCTGGTTGGGCAAAACAAGCAATTTGAGGATATCACCTTGGATTCAGGGAATTTCGTGAATTTTGTTTTATAACATTTTTGGGCATTACTGTTTAAGGAAAAACATATTTTTGGGGGAATTGAAAATAGTTAATATTTGCCTTTATTCCAATACAACAAACTGGGGCTTTTCAGTCATCACAAAAACTGCTCCATTTAAGGTTGAGAAGTGATGTTTCTTAGTAGAGCCAGGAAACGTAAGTTTATAGTTGGAAATGTAAAGTTTTTTAAATGAGAGATGTGCTTCACTGAGAACACGTTTTTTTAAATGTATCAGCCATTAAATACAATAACGCTTATATTGGTCAATATATCGGTCTGTTATTTTTTTATAGTGACTCAAAGGAAATGGTAAAACGTTTTCCAGTTATCAAATTACTTTAAGGAATATCAGCTTGAGTATCTTCAAATAATGCATGTCATATTGTATAAGTGTTCTTTTCAGTGTCCTTGTATTACATTACGTTTCTGTTTACAAGTATGCATGTATTTACAAATATTGCGTCTCAGCCGCTTTCTACGGTCTGCAGTAAACTCTGACAAAGGGTTTGAGCATACAGCCAAACGCACTAAATAGAAAATATGAACTTATTTGCTAACTGCAAAATTAATAGTATGCATGTAAAAGACATGCATGCAACCAAAAACAGCAGAAGCGTTTGCGTGTTAAATGCAAGCTATGCTAACGCTAGCTGCTCTGTGACAAAGAGCAGCAGACGGCCTGCTGAATGAATGGAGAATACCCAGGTAGCTACTTATTTGCTCATTCACAGCTTATTTGATTTATCTCCAAATGCAAATGCGGTTAAATTACGCAAACGTTTTCATGTCAAGCAGCTACACGTTCCAGGAAAATGAAATGCAAATAATCTTACTTGCACTTTCTCAACAGGATGCAAAAGACAAAGTGCTTCTTCTTCTTCTCCTCCAAAACACACACACTCACAAAGCACACCGATGATTTCCGACCACGCGCTGTCTTTGCTCATTGTGCCTGATTATAAATGACAAAACACATTTTTTTCCACTGTATTTTATTTTTGAATTGACAAAACTACACAATTATGACTGCTTTATTACATATAACATAATTCTAAGATGCTGCTGAGGTAAAACATTATTCGGACACAGTTTTTTGGTCAGGCCATCTCTACAGCTTCCAATGTTTGGGACCCTCCAGATGAGTACTGAACAGAAGTTCTTATAATACATCCAGGAGGTAGAAGAGTTATTATTACAAAAGTAGGAACAAGTTGAATAAATGTGAACCACCGAAGAAGAGCAATAAGATAGGTATGTCTAATTTAATATTCAATGTAGAATTGAAGTACCGTGAAGCTAGCACAACTAGCTTCACGGTACTTCAATTATACACTACTAGCACTACTAGCTTCATGTGCTGCACACAGGTAGCCTTATTGTGGTTTAGGGTTAGCTTCATGTGGAAAGTATTTATGTATGTTACGTATAATGAGGCATTTTGTAGGTGAAGCATCTGCCATGAGGCTGATGTTGTTAGATATTTAAGTGTTTCACTCTTTAAAGTACCCCAGTTTAATCACATGCAAACCTTGCTAAATTAAGGTAAATGCCCTGAGAACACTCCACTGGGCATGGAGCATATTGGACAATGCCTGGGTTCCAAACTGTCATGAAAAACAAAGCATTATTTGTTTTCATTGATTTCATGCTCTCTTGCAGCCTGTCCTTTTACTTCCCTGCTGTTTCCCTTTTTGAAATTAGAAATGAGGGTCGAACGTTTTATTTACAACCATCAAGCTTGCAGGCTGAGTATCTGTTATTTCTCCATCACCTAATTTTCATGATTCTATTTTCTTGGAAAGAATGGGGTTTTAAGAGAGATTAAGTAATGCAATCTATTACTCACTTCCATATAAAGACACACTGCATTAGTCACCTCTACTCATTGCTATTCTATTTCCTGTAAATGTCTTTCAGCCGCCATGACTATAGTAATTGGATTTGAGGGAAGTGCCAATAAGATTGGCATTGGAATCATCAGGGATGGTGAAGTGCTGTCCAACCCGAGACGGACCTACATTACCCCCCCTGGTCAAGGCAAGTTGTCCCCTTCACTTTACCGGTGATATGTAAAAGTCTAACAATCTTGCATGTGAAGTTAAAAACCTGGTTTTTTACCCATCAGGTTTCTTGCCGAGTGACACCGCCAGGCACCACCGTGCTGTCATTCTGACGGTCCTGAAGGAGGCGCTGGAGCAAGCAGGGCTGAAGCCTGCAGACATCGACTGTGTGGCGTTCACCAAAGGTAACATAACATGCTGGGTGTTCACCTTGTGGGAGAATCAGATATGAACGTGTCACATGTTTGTCAGAACAATGATAACATGATTTCATTAGTCTCAAAGTTTTGATTCATCAGGCTCCATACTGGTTTTGATTAAAAAAAATCCATGCCAGTGACATTACAAGAGAACGCACAATAGCTTGATGTATATTATTTTTCAGATATTGAATGATATCACAATAGAAAACCCATTGCTATGCTATGTGCTACTCTCACCCACAAATATTGTCTGGGAAAAAAAGCAAGTGGAAATGTTACTCAGACTGGTGCAACATAGTATTTATTTTATTATCTATAAAAAAGTATTATTATATTCCCACAAGGCGACACCAAACTGACAGACGATAAGATGTTTTCTCTCAAACCAGAATGTAAAATCAACACTCCAACGTCACAAACACCTCTTTTTTTCCTCCAACAATGCAACATAGTTATATAATATAAAAAATAGTGCAAGAACACGTAAATAGAATATGATATATACAAGAACAGAATGTAAATGTAGTTATTATCATATTCTATTTACGTGTATATAGACTTCTTGCACTATTTTCTATTCGTATTTTATTATATAACTATGTTGCATTGTTGGAGGAGCTCGGCTCATAAGATTTTCATTGCCATTTCTACACTGAAGCTGATGTGCATGTGACATTAAATTCAATTGAATCTTGAATTTTCTGTCGTTTCTCGCTTCATCAGGTCCTGGTATGGGCTCTCCCTTGGTGACGGTGGCTCTGGTGGCTCGTACAGTTGCCCAGCTGTGGGGGAAGCCGCTGCTCGGTGTGAACCACTGCATTGGACACATTGAGATGGGCCGACTCATCACACAAGCCGACAACCCTACCGTGCTTTACGTCAGTGGAGGAAACACACAGGTCGGTTTCTGTGTATAAAGAGTGAGTTATAACATACGCAGTTTTAAGTTCATTAGGTATAAATATCATTTGTTCCTGTGCAGGTTATTGCATACTCTGAGCGGCGATACAGAATCTTTGGGGAGACCATCGACATCGCAGTTGGCAACTGCCTGGACAGGTTTGCTAGAGTTATAAAGGTGTGTACCATTATGACTTTCAATAGAATAATAAATGGCCTATTGCTGCCTGTGATAAGTGTGTGTTAAAGGTCCCCTATTATACTGTTTTTCATCAATATATTATAGGTCATATATACATATACAAAACATGTCTCTGAAGTGTTTGGCTCGAAATACCAAACATCATGCATTGTAGCATCCCATAAACCCCTCTGTTTCAGCCCTGTTTCAAAAGTGCTGATTCTCTGTCTGTTACTTTAGATGAAAATAAGGAGCCACTCCCCACGCCCCTCTGAGAGATATTTGGTTAAAAAGAACACAATGGTGATCTAGGAGGAGATTCAGGTGATATGGGGGAGGGGGGTTACCTTGGTTGGTTATTGGCTCATGGTTACACAAGCCAAAACATCGTTATGACATCATAAAGTGGCCAAAATCTGATCAGCTCATTTTCAGACAGGTTTTTATATAAATAGATCAGGACAAAAAGAGAGAGAATCTTTTTTCCTGAAACTTTCAGAATCTCTTTCCACAGAGGGGACACATGGTGATGTATAAAATACATGAAAAAGTGGATTTTGCATAATAGGTCCCCTTTAATACTGAATCTGGAACTGTTTCTCCACTCAGATTTCCAATGACCCCAGTCCAGGATACAACATCGAGCAGATGGCTAAAAAGTAAGAGAGCCACTAAGCAGCTCCAGTGTTGTGTGCTTAATGTTTGTTTGTATACTAATAATAAATACTTACCTCTGCTTTTTGTCCATGCTGTCAGAGGGAGTCAGTATGTGGAGCTACCATATACGGTAAAAGGAATGGACGTCTCATTTTCTGGGATTACCTCTTACATTGAGGTGAGTGGCTTGCTCTTCCTTGGAAGTGTTCGTCTACAATAAATGCTTGTATCTTAATAATTGTTTATTCTTCTCTGCTGTCTTTTGACTATAGGCGCGTTCACACCGTACACACCGTACTTTTACCCCGTACTTTTCCCGTTTAGTTCCGTTAGTACCCCTGATGTCGCGTTCACACCAAAAAGAGTACTTAGTGCCGGGAACTTTTACCCCCATTTTCAGTGCCTGCTAGAGAGGTGGTACCAAAAAAGTACCAAAAAAGTACCAAAAAAGTACCAATTTCTATTGGCTGGGCGAATTGCAAACCACGCCCCGTAAAACGCCGCCATTGTATTTGCTGGCATTAGCATTATTAGCATTAGCATTAGCCCCGCGCACCAATGGAGAGAGAATAACTTATGGCAACACAAAAAAAAACATGGGAGCGGTGGAGTGATGAGGAGGTTTCGGCGTTCTGGCGATTTACTCGGAAGGCTTCAGTAGAAGCTGCTGGGAGTCCCAGCAGCTTCTACTGAAGCCAGTCCCCAACACCGGGGACTTCCGGCAGGGGACTTTGGGTGGCAGTATACGCCGTGAAGTTGTTTTCGGCCTGCCAGTAAACCCAAAGAAGAAGAAGACGAAGTGACGTCAGCGGCTCATTTGCGTAATCTTCCCTCAGGGAAAAGTACTCCGGTGTGAACGCGATTGGTACTTAGTGCCCTGGGGTAATAAGTGCCGGGGCACTAAGTACGGCAAAGTACTTGGTGTGAAAGCTTGTGTAACATTTGTGACAAACGTTCAAACTGGTGCCTCTATCGGATTTCTTCCATTTTCCTCACAGCTTTGCACAACACAGGACGCATGACATTTATTTCCAAACAAATGGAGATAACATATTAGCTGCCAGTTAAATTTAATGTGAACAAAAAAATTGTGTTCATGAATTGTTAGCAACATGGCTAACTTCAAAGTTACTGTCCAAAGCAAGGAAAGGCATTTTTTTATATGTCCTTCCCTTTTTCAACTTTGGCTTTCAACAGTCAACATTGCTCCAGTTGTTCCACTGTCAATTTATTTTCTGGTTCATAATCCTAACAGTTATTTTTTCTGTCTTAGGAAGCTGCTCACAAGATGATCAGCTCGGGTCAGTGTTCAGCAGAGGACCTGTGCTTCTCCCTGCAGGTATCTCTATCAGTTCATCAAATAATATAGCCCTAACTGAATCTGTGTAGCAAAGTGAGTGAGCTCTATACCGGGGGTGTCCAAACCTTTTTCCCTGAGGGCGACATACAGAAAAGCATACAATGGGCCTGGCCACTCACTAGAGGTATATTGCCTCATAAGCTAAGTTATAAGTTAGCAAAATCAATCAAATGTAGGTAAATTATGCTTGATACTTGAATATGCTTTAAAGGGCCCATGTCATGCTTTTCCGGTTATTACCCGTCCCCTTGTGTGTTATGTAGCTTTTTATGCATGTAAATGGTCTGCAAAGTCACACACCCTCAAAGTACACCCTGTAGCGAGTAAAACTCTAACACAGAAAAGACCTGTCTATGCTGCCCCAGAACGCCTCGTTGGAGATTTCTCTTTTTCCCTTTTTTTCTTCCTGAGTATAGTGATGTAACCGCGGAGTTTCGCCGGCACACACACTCACTCAGCCTTATATTTTCTTAGCCGCGGCTCCGTGGATCTCCACTCACAGTTCGCCACACACTCACAGCCTGGCTGTGAGCGGTGTCTCGCTGTCTCGCAGACCCCACGCAGCAACCAGGAAACGACACCAGTAATACAGCTCACACTGTCCACTCCTCGAGCCTCAAAGGGAGCGGAGCAGCGAGCTGCGCAACGTCCCGCCAACACGGCACGCCATTGTAACACATAAACACTGATGTTCCGATGTAACGGTGGTGGACTCATCAGAACAGAGTGGGCGAGCTGACCAATCAGAGCACAGTGGGCTCATAGGGAGGGGGGGCAGGAGCTCCAACAAGGCGTGTAGGACAGAGAGTGAATACACCTACTATACAGAGATGCTGTATGAGAAACCAATGTGGTTTGTATTTATTGAGGGCCTACGAGCTACCGGTAGCTCGCGAGCCCCCTGTTGGAGACCCCTGCTTTAAGAAAATAACAGCCTATATCACATCTCTCCATAGGGTTTCATTGCTTATAATAAGGGGAAATAGGAAGGGTATATCTCAAGCTTGTTATGCAATTCAATTATTGGGCTTTTTTTGTATTAACTAAGATTTGTTTGAACATATTTTCAACTTTATTTGATGGAATTTATTTGAAAAGTGTGCTTATAAACACATGAATACTGAGTAATATATGTTTACATGTACAAGAAGTACAATATAAGACAAGCACAAGTTTCAGGTGTGGGCCGTATTCCATTATACTTTTAGAATTTGCTGCGGGCCGATTCAAAATGGAACAGGGGCCACGTTTGCCCCCCAGGCCGTAGTTTGGACGCCCTTGCTCTATACATATGAGTAGAAGCCAATTTGATAGTGTCGCCCAGCACTAAAGTCTCCCCCCCCCCCCCCCCACAGGAGACGGTGTTCTCCATGCTGGTGGAGATCACAGAGAGGGCCATGGCTCACTGCGGCTCCGGAGAGGTCCTGATAGTGGGGGGCGTTGGCTGTAAGTGCACCAGACCTGTTCACAGGACATACAGTACTATGATTTACTTCACTGATTTATGACTTTGATCACTTTTTTTATGATATTTTTCAACACTGTTGATCAGAAACTATACTATGAAGCATTTATTAAATGAAATATGTTTTTATTAAATTATTTTTCACATGCCATACTATACATTTTTAGGACTTTACCACCCTTTGACTTTTTCACTTTTTTACGACATACTATGAGGTTTTTATGAAATGTTTCTACATTTAATACAATGCCGAGGACTTTACTTATGAAATATTATTTTATTACTTTTTATGACTTACTAAGCTAAGACATTTTTATGACATACTTAATTATGACATTTTTATTCAATTTATATGACCTACATTACTATGAGTTTGTAGGACTTTTATTATATACTATGATCTCATTCATTTGCTTTTAATTACCTACTACACTATGACTTTTTTATGACATTATTTTCATGACATACTAACTATACTATGATATTGTTGACATTTGTTATGACATACTATAACACTTTTTTTTACGACACTTTTTTTGTATGACTTCTATGACATTCTATATTATGACATTTGATCATGTGACCCCCTGGTTCCTCTGTAGGTAACCTGCGTCTGCAGGAGATGATGGGGGTGATGTGTAAGGAGAGAAATGCCAAGCTTTTTGCCACAGATGAACGGTAAACATATACATTCAAATGACAATAGATTCACTTTAGATTCCCACGAATGAGCAATAGGAAGGTCCCTGGACCAAAACTTAAATTGCTCTAATCTTTGTAAACATACACTATTACTGGGTCAAAACAATTGTACAGAACACAAACTCAGGACGCTTTAACTGACCCCATCCTGCGGTGTTTGTGTCCCATATCGGTGTAAATGATGTATACATCAAATTGAACCATTGCTTTTGCATTTTAAATATTATTTACAACAAACCACACACACTGCTTGTTTCCCCTCAGGTGCTGTTATTTGCACACAAATAATTAACTTAAATTGAGAAATCCATTAAACACATTGTCTAAAATAAAGTCTTGTTTGATGTCAGGTAGTTTCAGACACCGTGAAAAACATTTAGCAGTAATGTAACATAGCCCTATAGTTCCTAAAATAGCCTGTGATTTCGGTCCGTCGCACCATCATATTACAGGTTCGGTCCAGATAACAGTGTTCACTTTGTACCACAGGTTCTGCATTGACAACGGAGCGATGATTGCTCAAGCTGGCTGGGAGATGTTTAGGTCCGGTCAGGTGACGGAGCTAGAAGACTCGTGGATTACACAAAGGTAGAATTCACCCTGGTCTTTTTTTTGTCTGTTTTGTGCGAAATAATGAAAATCAACACTCTCCCAGCTAAAACACCAGCAGTATAGATGTAACTATTACCTTCAGTCCTCCAGGGTGAATCATATTTCAAGTCAAATGAATTGAAGTGTCTCTTGTAATGTAGAAAAGTTGTTGATCTTTGATCTGATTGACTGAATGCCGCCAACTGACTGTCATTCTTTTGTATCCGTCCATTAACATTTCTCCTTTCATAGGTACAGAACAGATGAAGTGGAGGTGACATGGAGAGACTGAGCGACATCTTGGTGCTACACACGCTGCTGCAGCAGGTCTGTCGTAGGACTCCCCCGAAATATTAAAGCATTTTGTTAAAAAAAGCCACAGATTTATTTTTTCATTTTCTACGCTACAGTTTACTTGTTTAAAACATCATCATATTGCTGAGGCAACGAGTGTAACAGTGGCAGATGCAGTTTGAAAACGTTGCCAACCACACCTTTTTTTCTTTTTAGGAAAACACACAGCTAAGCAGTTTGATTAAAAGGCAGGTCCACTTGCCATGAAGAACACCCCAGTTTCTTTTTATGTTCAGTTATGTTCCACTTGTAATTGTCAAAGAGGAACATATGTTGTTTTTTACTTTGCCATTATGTACAGCAATAAATCTGACCTTTTAAATAAATACAAAAAGAGTAGAAAATGTCTTCATTGTTGTTTTTACTCGTATTCCTCCTCTTTCTCCAGTGTATTTTTGTAAAATCAATATATACCTTATAAATTTGAGTAACTTTTACCCAATCTGGAAAGGAAAAAAACACAGCATTACGATCGGACAGTTAAAGGTTGGACTCTACTGTGCCTATGACTACACCCCTCTAAATAACCATGTTTCATATGAAATACTATGATATTTTATGGCATACTACACTGACATCTTTGTTACATACAATACTTTGAAGTTCTTTTGACCATTTCATCACCCCCGTCCTTCAATACCGGCACTGGCTCCCTGTCCGTCAACGAATACACTTAAAAAATAAATAAATAACGGAAATCTGAAAAAAAGGACATAGTATGTGGAAAAATCTGAAAAAAACGACATAGTTTAGTATGTCGAAATGATGAGAAAAAGGACATTGTATAGTGTGTCAACAATTCTGAACATAGTATGTCGAAATGATGAGAAAAAGGACATTGTATAGTGTGTCAACAATTCTGAACATAGTATGTCGAAATGATGAGAAAAAGGACATTGTATAGTGTGTCAACAATTCTGAACATAGTATGTCGAAATTATGAGAAAAAAAGACGAATCTAAAAAAGTAATTGTCCAGCTCTTTATGTCGTAAAAAAGTCAGAAAAGTCATTTATAATTAAAAGTCATTTAAAAAAAAAAAAAAGATTTGTCCTGCGCTTGTTGCAACACATTTTTACATTGATTGGAAATACTGGGTCACATGACAAAGAAGCTATTGAAAAATATTGAGACTTCACACAGGCCTTAATTCCTTTGACACCCTTTACAGTATTACTTTGTAATAGTATACTAACCTATTTGCCTCTATCCTTATGTCCACTAGGAGGCAGAGTTTTGCTGTAAGATGAAAAAGGCATCATGAGAAAAAAAAGGAGCCAAAGATTAATTTTAACCCACCTCATTTTATTAAGCAAAGTATCAGAATGGTTTGCAATTAGTTGTTTAACAAATACAAAGATAACTTAGGGAATGTAATGAACAGTGAGGGCAATACTGTTTGAGAATAAATGAACCAGAGATGAATAATCATAATAATGTGACTTATTACATGTCGAAATGTGTGCCTCTCACCTTTGTGATGTGTGTGTGTGTGTGTGTGTGTGTGTGTGTGTGTGTGTGTGTGTGTGTGTGTGTGTGTGTGTGTGTGTGTGTGTGTGTGTGTGTGTGTGTGTGTGTGTGTGTGTGTGTGTGTGTGTGTGTGTGTGTGTGTGTGTGTGTGTGTGTGTGTGTGTGTCAGTCAGATGACTCCATTTGACAGCAGCTAAACAGTAGTGATATGACAGTGTTGAGAAAAACAAGACAAATAAAACTGAAACGCCTTCACATCTATCTCTGGCTGCATGTGCTCAAGATGTGGTAACTATAGAACATTAATGAAAAAAACAAACATGTGACCTATAGTTGCATAGCCAATCAGAGGGCTTAAAGCCAGCAAACCAAAATATATAAAACTAAATATATATATTATTAGCCCTCACAAATGAGCTCTGTATTTGCGGTCGGAATTTAACCCAAAAGTACACTGAAATACCCAACAAACTGTACTTCACGCTTGAAAAAGAAACGAATTGCACATCTGTTAATGGGGAAGGAAAGACTACAAAATTAACATCACTTTCTACATTAGAGCCACTGCACATTTGAAATCAAATTGCACAGTGGTCTTTAATTATATCTTGGGACACGGTATTATTACTTCTTTTTGAAAAATAACATTCACGAGCATATAGAGTAGATCCATCTCTATTGTACATATCTGGAAGTAACTATAAAAAAATAAAGATGGAAAATAAATCAGTTTTGCCTTTTCAGGAGAGTTCCTCCCTGCTACTGATAACAACTCAGCATATTAACAAAAACATCCACTGTACATATCAGACTCTAAAAGATATATACTGTCACCTCTTGTTAATGATTTACATCCAAAAATAAAATAAAATCTTCAGTCAGTTTTTAAAGTGATCAGTAGAAACTTCAGAGGCTGGTGCGTGCTGCAACATTACAACGCAGCGCGACAGTCAGAAGGTCACGCGTCGAGAGCAAAGCTTGTCTTTCCACAGTGTCTGACTACACTTCAGTTCTTTATTTTTTATACAGTGTCTTGCCATTTGTCTATCACAGCAGCATGGACTCCTGCAGGGCGAACGCCTCCTGTGCGTGCCTGTAGTGCGGCCCTCCGAACAGCTGTTGGCGAAGGACGGGCTCCTGGAGTGGAGTCCTGTAGTGGAGCAGGGGCTCTGGGTTGGGGGGGAAAGTGAACTCCTGAACGGGCGACATTTGGGCTCGCTCGAAGCTGGGTGAGCGGGGCACACCACCTGGGGTATGAGGGGGCCGCTCATCATCTGGAGCCCATGGGAGGGCCCCGTCTACAGGCCGCCGATGGCCCCCGCCTTCATGAAGGAAGTGTTGCTCACCCCTCTGATGCCCCTCAAACCTGTAGTCCACCGGGGTGTACACCTGTGAGGTGGAGGTGAGTTGCTGCAGGTAGATCGGGGTGGACCTCTCCTGGGTTTCCAGCTGCAGGGAGTGCTCTGGTGGGGGCCTCACGGTTCGGGGGTTCCCCGGCGGCCCCCTGCGGTAGGTTGTGTAGCAGTTGTTCATGAGAGTTTTCTCCGGGGAGGGGTTCTGGCGCTGGGTGGTGGCGTACGCTCGATCCCCGTACACCACGCTGGAGAGCGGGGTGAATCGGGAGGGAGGGGCGTAGAGTCGGTCCTCTCCCCGGGGCTCCAGGCTCACGCTGTAAGCAGGGTGGAGGATGGGAACTTCTGTCGTAGTTCTGCCCGGGGAGTGCTGCTGGGGGGGGGGGGCTGTACTGGCTGCCGGGGTACACCCTCCCGGGACTGTTGTTGGTGAACGCAGGAGGGTGATTGGCCATTCTCGACCCGGAGGCGACGGACACCGTGCTCCCGGCTAGGCTCGGGCTGCCCTGATGGAGGGACGACACACTGAAGTGGGTGTCACTGCGAGGGGTCCTCATTCTGGACGGGGGTCTGTCAAGCTCCAGGATCTCGAAATCCTGCTCCGGCAGCCCCGGCACGTTGTCATACTGCGAGGCATTGGAGCCGCGGTTGGTGTCGGGGATGAAGCCCTTGGAGTTCGGGCGGCGGGGGGCCAGGGCGCTGTCCTCTGGGCTGGAGGGGGCCGGTGAAGCCCCACTGCTCTGGTGGACGTCCCGCGCGGCTGCCGCTTTCACCGCCTCCAGCTTTGTGTCTGAGGGTTTGAACCAGCGGGGGGTGATCTCTTTGCGGGAGCTGGAGGCCGCGTTGGAGTTGTGGTTGGCGGTGGCGTGGCTCTGAGGCTTCCCTCGATCCACCGGGGGTGTCGGGGTGGGGGCTGAGGGCGGTGGGGCCCCCCTTTCAGGTGTAGTGGAATGCTTCCGCTGATCATTGGGAATCTCCCCCGACCCTCTTGAGCGAGCGTCTCTTCTTTCAGCCTTGTGGTGGCGGATGGATTTCTCCAGCGAGTTCCGGCGTAAGCGGCTGGGGGGCCGACTGTCCTGCTGACGGACCGGTAGCGGACTCGGGTCCTGGGGGGGCTCCGCAGGGTCGGTGTGGCTTTGCCCGTTGGCCACGGGGTTCACCACCACTGGGGCCACCTCAGGAGGAAGCTGCCCTAAAGGCTTCTTGGGATACTCATCTTCTTTACCTGCAAGATTTATAAAAAAAAGGAAACAAATTAGAGCGCCATCGAGAAACAAAACAAATGATGGTTTGACACACGGTGTGGCGAGTCACAACAGGGACATGGATTCATGCAACACCACTGCCATAGAGAGGTAAAACATAAAGGAGAAACACAATCAAATTTCCACAGGCAGAGCGAAGGACAAAAAACAAAATTAATTATTTCCCATCGTGCTGAAAGGGCTCATTAAGGAAGTGACGATTGAGTGGTCGTTAAATGATGACTTTCACTTCATTTCATTAAACTGTACTTAGCTGCAGTACTAGCCCCAGACTTAAAAGGTCACGCAGACATAATTCTTGATTTATGAACCAAGTTACGGAGACTAATGAGCATTAAAGCCACAGAAATATTTCTTCACTTAGACTTGTCCAAAGTTACTATTGCAAATCCAGTGCATGTTACAAGAAATGACATTGATACGAATGCTTTGAGTAAAATACAGTTAACAGGAACATAGACACAGTGATGGTGTTGTTGGGACTGTGAGGCAAAGTGTGAAGTCAGGAAACAGCAGCTGAGAGAGGAGGGATCCAGGAAGTCAACTTCTTTCAGGAATCCTTCATCCTGTCCACTCTTAATCATTTCTCTAAATCTTGCAGATGTAATTCTGAAAACCTTTTATGAGTCAAGTTCACAAGTCCAACTGAGACATGCTGCACATTTTTGTGAAAAAGGCAGACTAACAAGAACATGTAATTCCGAATAATGTTTGAAACCTATAGCTGCATTCTTAATATAAACACATGTCCTGAACTGAGTCCGTACGCTGCCACTCTACATCAAAGATTCATCCACACAGAGTCAATTATACTGCTGTGGTGATGTGGTTAGGAAAAGAGGAGACCATAAAACCACTGGCATTTCTCACAGTTCAGCCCATTCAGATACAAAAATGTAAAAAAAATCATCCCCCCTGCACACCAGCAAATGTGGTAGCACTGTTTAAACAGAAGTTAAACAAAAGCCTCCAGTGTTTGGAAAGTGGCTCATTATCTTGTCAGCGTGCAGTGGAAGGAACAGAAAGCTTCTGTTGAAGCTGTGTGGGCTATAAAAGAAAGTTCCTCTTTCAGCTGCAGTACTAAAACATCTTACAAAATGTGAAGTCTCTGCTGCTGTTATACAAGGACTAACAGACCTGCGACTAATAACAGGAAAACGTCACATAACGACCCGAAAAATATATTTTGAGAGGTGATCATTTCAGTAAATTCATCATTTGGAAAAGCAATCTTGTCTATTTAAAATGATTAACCTCACCACTCCTCTCAGGGCAGTGAACAAAAAAGGTGCCATTAGATGATTATATAAATAGCTTAACAGTTATAAATTATATATTTCAAAAACATACTTAAACCATAATTGAAATATATCTCAAAAAGCTCAACGTAATAAATGGCACTAACAATCAATTAGTCAGCCACCAGCAGAGGGCACATGATGTCTCCTGAAAGTCCTTTATTGACATAAAAAAAAGGCAGTAAAAGGTAAAAAAAAATAAAAAAAGAAACGAGGAGAGCCAGACACTGCAGGACAGAAGCAACTTATTTATAAATATTATAATGTGGGGGGATAAAAAAACAAAACAGTATTTTGTGAGGGAAAACCCTGAGTGCTGCTGGACAGACAGAAGACAGACAGGACTGACTGAGGGACAGATGGACAGAGACATGGAGAGGGGAACACCAGTCAGGATAGCCCACCGGTTACTGTTGTAGGAGGGGATGTGGCCCCCACTCACGGCCACACTTTTGCTGTTGTTGGCTAACATCGTTTGAAAGGAGAGGGAGAGAAGCAGATTATTGAGAAGAGCAAGATTAGAAAAACACACACCGCTAATAATGCTAATGCTACGAGCTAAAGGACAGCAGGAAGACACAAGTACAAGCCATGATACCAAAAAGGGGCATTTGTTTCATTGTAGTGTTCGACTGGTGCATTGTTTTCAGTATGGACTGTAGAGCTGCAGTCGACTTATAGATCAACATGAATATAAGGCAAATGCTATTTGCACCTGGGTAACTATAGTGAACAATGCTATTTGCACCCGGGTAACTATAGTGAACAATGCTATTTGCACCCGGGTGACTAGTGAACAATGCTATTTGTACCCAGGTAACTATAGTGAACAATGCTATTTGCACCCGGGTGACTATAGTGAACAATGCTATTTGTACCCAGGTAACTATAGTGAACAATGCTATTTGTACCCAGGTAACTATAGTGAACAATGCTATTTGCACCCGGGTAACTATAGTGAACAATGCTATTTGCACCCGGGTAACTATAGTGAACAATGCTATTTGCACCCGGGTAACTATAGTGAACAATGCTATTTGCACCCGGGTCTCTATAGTGAACAATGCTATTTGCACCCGGGTAACTATAGTGAACAATGCTATTTGTACCCAGGTAACTATAGTGAACAATGCTATTTGCACCCGGGTAACTATAGTGAACAATGCTATTTGCACCCGGGTGACTATAGTGAACAATGCTATTTGCACCCGGGTGACTATAGTGAACAATGCTATTTGCACCCGGGTGTCTATAGTGAACAATGCTATTTGTACCCAGGTAACTATAGTGAACAATGCTATTTGTACCCAGGTAACTATAGTGAACAATGCTATTTGCACCCGGGTAACTATAGTGAACAATGCTATTTGCACCCGGGTGACTAGTGAACAATGCTATTTGTACCCAGGTAACTATAGTGAACAATGCTATTTGCACCCGGGTAACTATAGTGAACAATGCTATTTGCACCCGGGTAACTATAGTGAACAATGCTATTTGTACCCGGGTAACTATAGTGAACAATGCTATTTGTACCCAGGTAACTATAGTGAACAATGCTATTTGCACCCGGGTGACTATAGTGAACAATGCTATTTGTACCCAGGTAACTATAGTGAACAATGCTATTTGCACCCAGGTAACTATAGTGAACAATGCTATTTGTACCCAGGTAACTATAGTGAACAATGCTATTTGCACCCAGGTAACTATAGTGAACAATGCTATTTGCACCCAGGTAACTATAGTGAACAATGCTATTTGCACCCGGGTAACTATAGTGAACAATGCTATTTGTACCCAGGTAACTATAGTGAACAATGCTATTTGCACCCAGGTGTACCCAAAGTAATTTTCTTATGCAAAAATTGAAGGAAATTGTGTTTTTCAGACTTTCAAATATGGAGAATTCCCTTTTTTCTCAGTTTAATATCATATTAAAGTGAATATATTTTGGTGTTGGACAAACAAGATATTTAAAGATATTAACTTGCACTGATTTTTTTTTTTTTTACTATTTTCATTTTATAAACCACTCGATTAATCAAAAAAGGATCAGCTGATTAGTCCAATCGTAATTGCAGCTTTTGAATGCTGATTTTGTGAAGCTATTTTTAAATTTGATTATTTATTTGTGTACTACAATGTTTTGCCTATGGTTTTAATATTATTTGTTATTTTATAAATGATTTTAACTAATTGCTGATTTAGGAAAATTCTAGAACGTGGTTTCAAAAAGCCCAAGGTGATGACTTTAAATAGTTTTCAAATCACAAAAAGATTCAATATACATTTCAATAATACAGGTAAATTGATCAAATGTTTACTTTTTGCGTAATCGTGAATTGAAAGAAGAGGTTGTTCTTTATCAGTATTACGGATACTAAAAAGACAATTTGCAAGTGTGTATATTGTATGAGTTCAGATTATATCCTATAGTCCAAAACTAGCAAGCCACATGAATGTCTGGGAGCAAATTCATTTGATATGCTGAACAAATATGGCCAGGATCCGTTGAAACTTTTGGAATAATGGGTTGCAGATTAACATTTTCCAAAGGGGGGTTCGTTTAGCATGAAACACTTGAAATAACTAAAGGATAAGTTAAAAAAGAAAGTAGAAAGAAAGTGAGGTCAAAGAAAACTTAACCTTTTATAACCTTTTGTTATTCATGTTTTATTATCTGTGTTTTTAAATGCCATTTTATAATATGTTTCTTAATGTCTTTCATTTTTGCAAAGCACTTTGAATGGCCTTGTGTTGAAAGGTGCTATATAAATAAACTTGCCTTGCCTATAGTGACGCATGAAATAAAATAAAAATGGCATACTACTTTAGATCAGACTTGTAGTAAAATACTGAAAGAGCAAAGTATTAGTTTGAAGTTGCCTCTCTGGTTTCAGACTCAGAGTCGACTTGATAAATGTCCCTTCTGGTATTACAGCTGTTTGCCTCTGGCCCTCGTGCTGCAGCAGTACCTGGGGCAGGCAGCTCCATCTTTGTCTTCCTCAGCTCCGTCATGGACGCCTGCAGCTGATCCACCACAAAGTCGTCCTCGAAGAAGAAATTTTTGGACAAAGTCACCTGCAGAAACTCCACCAGCTCCTCCATGGACAGCTTCAACAGGTGCTCTGTAGAAAACATACACACAGTTAGACATTTATAGTGTTTGAGTGGTGGACAGCAGATGCTAGCACTGTGCCGCCAGCTCACTCTTATGCAGTTTGAGGATGGTGTAGGACATGGTGGGCAGCACCCTCTCTCCCTCCAAAATGTAGATGTCCCAGATCCTGAGGGTGAGGGTGAAGGGAGTCTGCACAGAAAAAACACAACAAGAGGTGAGGTTATAATCGAAAACCAAAATTAACAATGTTTCACTAGTTTCTTTCCTTCCCTATCTCATTAGTTCCTATGATATACATCTTCAAAAATTGATAAATCAATGTAAACATTTTTAAACGCCTCAGTACTTTTTTTGAAAGCTAGGAACCAGGGGCGGCTCTAGGGGGGGCCAACTGACTTTGGACCCCCCTGAAAATGAAATGTTTATGATTAAACAATTTCCTGGCTGACGGAATAGGCGGAGCTAACGTTATTTGTCATTCTAGTCAGACCCATTAGAGCGTGAAAACTGTAACTATAAGTATCTGAAGTGTGTACTGAAACAATACCAATAACTGTATTGCATTGTTTTCTTATGCGCAATTACTTCATACTGTCTTTGTGTTTTTCGTCCTGCATTTATTGTGCCCCTCTCAGAAAAGAACTGGCCCCAGCCTGGCCCCCCCAGTCAAATTGGTCTAGAACCGCCACTGCTAGGAACTGTAGTTTTTAGCAATCATTATTTTTATAGTTAAAACAGGCTGTTGACAAGATAGTACAAAATGTAAACCGTACTTAAATGTTTTCCTCTGTAATTAAGTTTTCATTCAACTTACTTATTTTTAGCACTCATTTTTTAACCAGGAGAAAATGCATTTGTTGGGGACTTGTTATTAGTATCAATTCATTGGTGTTTCAGGGGTTTTGATAACAAGAGAAATACGGAACATCACCAGGCTTATCGATCAAAAGTGTCATGTTGATGTATCATTCAGAGTGATTTTGAAGTCATTTTCTTCCCCTGATTGCGGAATCTGCTATCAATTTCATTTCAAATAGTGGACCTGCTTCCAGTAAGGTCCAGGGAATCGCTTCACACTCAAACATTACATATGTCTTTGGGTGGAAAGTTTTCACAATGAAATGTTCCTATCTGTCTGCAGTTGTATTTCATTTGATATGCCATATGTTGGTAATGTACTCACTCTGTCCAGGAAGCACTGGAAGAACCACTTCATGGTGTAGAGACTGGTTAAAACCTCCTGGGTGTCCTGCAGCCGCACAAACAAACAAACAGGAAGTACTTTTAGTGCATTTAGCAGGTTTATAAAGGTCTTTGTCCTACGATAATATAATATATTTCTGTGCACATTATCAGAAATATTTTCAGCCAAACTAAAACAACAAAAATACATTTAATTTTCTTACACATACAAAATCTGTCTTTTGAAAAAAATAAAAACTGTTGACAAATTTACAAAACACTTGAGTATGTATGTTGTTTTAATTTTTTTTTAATGATTCTTTACTACTAATATTTGTATATTTACTTGGTTTTCAATCATAATGTCTGCATCGTTCTGATTATTTGTTTAATTATTGTACTTTTTCTTTCTTTGGGAAATAAACATTTGTATATGTGTTTTGTTGGAAAAAACTAATGCCAATAAATACATTTGTCAAAAATAAAATGGAATTATGGCTTGTACATATCTAGAAAAATAGATATACCCAGTACATATTATTTGTCAAAGTATTACCCCTGAAGGCAGGTGTATCAAGTAATTCTACTGTAAATACAGGAAGAGATTTCTCATATAATAACTTAATCCAACAGCTGTATTTGATCCCTGAGTTATTTGGATAGCCTCCCTGTACTGTGACCAGTTGTTGGATAATTCAGCACTTATTATTCATCTGCTCTCACCAGGTGCTTCTTCAGTTTGGGCATCATCTTCTTCAGGATGCGGTCGTGGTGCTCCTGGAAACGCATCAGCTTCGGGAAGCCCGGGATAAAAAACCCTGAAGTTGAGGACAAAATGGATGACATCACATTTTGTCATTTTTAAACTATTTTGCATTGTAAAGCCTAACAAAATGGGTTACATTGTGTATGTATGTATGTGAAATGTGCACATTTCTACTTTTTATGTAACATTTTTATTAAATTTGATTATAGCTTTTTTTAATTTGGACTTTTTATGTTAATATAAATACATATTTTTTCTTTTTTTATTATGAATCTGTATTGCACATTCACATTTTCATTAACTTCTTTTGTTTAAAGGATATATTCTTATTTTTGTCTCAATGAAGCAAGTGTGCCAAAACCAGATTTCCCCAGTAAATAAAGTATTCTGATTACATTATCGGCCGTATTGGCAGATATCTTAAGTCAGGTATCAGAAGTTTATAGAAACAGAAAAAAAAGTGAAACAGTGCATCCCTAACAATATTATGTCATCACAATTATAGCAAATCGTTTTCAGTTACGAATGTATTTAGTCTTTCACATGCAGGAAACACTTGTGGGGTATGACTTTATTTGAGCAAGTCTTGTATTTACAATATCTCCCCCCCCCCCCCCCCCCCTTTAAAGAGTTCCTCTGTGTTACCGTGCATGGAGTGCTTCGGCCCAGACAGCAGTTTGACCAGAGCCCAGAAGGCGTCCTCTTCGTTCATGTAGATGAGCAGCAGAGCTGTGATCTGACTCATGCCCTGGCAGTAGCCCACCTCCTACACACACACACACACACACACACACACACACACACACACACACACACACACACACACACACACACACACACACACACACACACACACACACACACACACACACACACACACACACACACACACACACACACACACACACACACACACACACACACACACACACACACACACACACACACACACACACACACACACACACACACACACACACACACACACACACACACACCACACCACACCAGAATCAGAGACAGGTTTATTACCAGGTAGGTTTACACGTACGAGGAATTTGACTTGGTGTCGTGGTGCATACATAAAAGTAAAACAAGAATTAAAAAACAGGTAGAGAACTAGTGAAATATGAAAAATAATACAAAATATAGTAAAATAAAACAGTATTTACATTGCAATGGAATGGAATAAGAAGGAATAACATATGGAATAAATATCGGCAGTAAGTAATACTAATATTTTGCTTACTGACACAGAATGTATACATCCATAACTAAGTAGTATGCACATAACACATGAGACCATTCTGTCTTTAAGGTTTTTCATTGTCCTGATTTCATTTAATGTTTCACCCCGTTTTCTTCTTTGTTTTGCAAATACACTGAATTCAATTCTTAAATAAACGGGCTGTTGGCATAAGGCAATAATTCTCAATAATTTGAACTTTTTGACAGTCTTATGGTTTTACCTGTTTATGTTGGCAAATCTTTTTTGTGTGTGGCACCCTCTGTACATCACTATTAATTAAGGTGTGCATTTTCTGGGAGGCATTAAGACTAATGGAAATTATATTTGTCCTTGTTGAATAATCTGAAACTCTGGAAAATGCGTACAAAAGCTAAAATGTTAACAAGACTAAGAAGACGACTTGTATATCCTACATCCAGTACACATGCGAATAGTAAAAGCATAGTAACCTCCAGTATTGAGAAGACAGTGTGAATGACTCACCGTATTGTACATTGAATAAGCTGTGAGGACGTGGAAGAGAGCCTGCTGCCTGAAAAACACAAAGAAACCACAAAGAACACAGCGTTTAGTTCCAGGAATGTAAGTCAAAGTTTGGGTTCCTTCTTCTGACAGTTTTATCACACATTCACACAGAGAAGCTGCACGTCAGGGGTAGAATCTATAAATGTGGTGAAAATTAAGTGTGAGCTGAAGGCAGCATTTGTTATTTCAACATCAGCAGAGTGAAAAGGGCACATTACAAAAGGTGTTAAAACAGGTGTAGTTTCCATATATAGAGTGAAGCTGGTTTACTGATACTCATTGGTTTGAAATTAATCAGAGCCTGCTTTAGTTTCATGGTAACAAAGCAGAAGTCCAAATGGAAAAGAGTCACTTATTAATGGGAAAGCTTTAGGGCTCAGATATTAAGAATCAATTAGTGCAGATTTAAAATTCAAACACCCAGCACACACCTATTATACTTCTATTCTGACTGTATATCTGTTGCGTGACATTCATTTAAAGCAGTTATTTCTGACGCTAAGTGCCAACCCATGTGATATATCTCTATCTAGATCGCAGTGCAGATATGCGAAAAACTGAACAGACAAAAGTTGCACAACTTCCGGTGTCCACTCTGTGGCGCTAGAGAACACACGCTTAACAAACAGGAAGTTGATCACATCATGTGAAGAACACATAATATCCTTTTTATATTGGATGGTGATTTTTACGTAAGGCAATAGGTGTTAAATTGCTTTTGAACCTCAAGGTCTTAAAAAACGTACTGACCGAATTTGGTTAAAATACGAAGCCTGAAATGGCCAAAATACAACAAAGAAATGACATTGAAATACAATACTTTTTTAAGTCTACCTATGCTGCAAATATCTACCATTAGGATTTACGTACAGTGAGGGTTTAATGCAGAGTTAATGTTTGTAACACTGCAACAAAACAACCGATTAAGTAAAAAATACTTAGAACAATGTCAGTATTTTTCTTTCTGTGTTTTTCTCAGCAACGTGGTCCTTGGACACTTTGTATTAGTTATTCATTTTAAAAGTGAAATGCCTTAGAAACTGTGTAACCGTAACTTAATCTCGAATACAGTGTTATAGCCGTAGGAGAGTAAAGGCAGGGTGTTAATGCAGCAGTGTTCCTGCAGATACCCACTTGACATCGTAGCGGTGCATGAACATGATGTGGTCTCTGTAGGTGCGGTTCACGTCCAGGTCGATCTGCCGGATGTCGGGGGACACTCCCCTGGCTCTGGCCTTCAATTTCTACAGAAAACACAGAAACAAAAAGGTCAGTGACGAGGAGAGTGACGAGGAGAGTGACTCCAAGGAGACAAACATCCTGCTGGAGTACATCTAAGAGGCACAATATTTACTCAAAAACTGAAATAAGAGCCTGCGAAGTTTGAAAGAGAGAGTGAAATATAACTTATCAGATACAAAGCATAGTTCATTTACCTAATCTCAACCCAAATTGACCCAAATTCTGCCGTTTGTATCTCTATTTACAACATAATTCAGCTTCTTAACAGCATGTTTTATACTTTGAGAAAGTATTTCAGTGAATAATTCAGATGAAATGTATCACGTGTCAGAACATAAACATTTTCCAGTTTGAAGAAAGTTCAATGAAGATTTATGTTAATTTGGTCAAAGAAGATGTGTTTTTTTTTTGTAGCAGCCGACATGTTCATGACTTTAACACGTTTCCTTCGAATGTTTTGGGGTAAAAGGTTTAAAAAGTGGCGTTTATTACAAGTCTCCATCTTATATTTGATATTTAATCTGTCTTGGCGTCAAACAGATTTAATCAAATATCATACAAAAGGATAAAATGTTTTTTTATGGACAGAAAAGTCCTCATTCACAGTTTAAGTTTCTCACTATATTTGCTTTGTTTACAGCTGTGGCCTCAGCCTCAAATTACAATCCTTTCCACACAGCAAAAATATTATTGATCCTGCGTGCCAAACTTTTTAATGAGATCCAAAGTTTGTCTCTGTTCTTTACAGTGTGCAGGAACACGCTCTGCAGAATTACACAAACACACAATTACGCTTCCAAACCCACACCCTGCAGCTCGGTGAAATCAAATAAAAGGAGCACGCTTCTGAATCTTTATGAGGCCTGTGCTGTAATTAATGTTATAAACTGTGTGTGGGGGGGAGCCGGGCTGTAAAGTGGATGGTGTGTTTAGGTGGTGAGATCTGGGCTCAGTACCTCGTAGAAGTCCTTCTTCTCCTCCTTTATTTTGGGGACATCGAGCAGCAGACCCCAGACCTGCCCTCGCAGCTGCAAGGGGATTCCCTTATAGACCCTCCTCCCCAGCTGAAACACACAGCAGGAGTTTGTTAGGAACACTTTCAGAGAGGAGTGCCTCGGGAACACACTCCACATTCATGTAGACCTGAGCTCAGAACAGGTCAAATACTGATAGAAATATCACACAGGAATGTCAACAAACACGGAATGATGATGAGTTTCATGCTGCATACCCGACATAAAAATACACCTCAATTGATTACAATCTTTATTGTCAATTAAAAACAACTTATTTACTTATTAAAGGGGCCCTATTATGCTCATTTCAGGTTCATATCTGTATTTTCTGCCTCTACTCTACTGTGACATGTCTCCATGCTTTAATGTTCAAAAAGCTCTTTATTTTTCTCACTGCCTGTGCTGCAGCGCCTCTTTTCACCCTCTGTCTGAAACCAGAGCCCAGTCTGCTCTGATTGGTTAGCTGGCCGGCTCTGATGTGATTGGTCAACTGTTTATAGATGTCCCGCCCTTTAGCCTATCACGTACAATGTGTTGAAGCACTAGCCAATTGAAGTGTGAGTGTTACATAGTGATGTCAACCTATATAAACACACTACAGGTCTTTATAATGAATAGTTTCAAATAATCCGTAATACATCATATTTCTATCAATATCATTCCTCAATTTGTTGGTTTTCTGCAAAGTCATGTTTGTATCCTGAATCATGTTTGGTTTCTTAATGTTTAATGCAGCTTTTTTGTTCAGTATCCAATTATAAGTGTTGCTACCATGTGGGATTTTGAAAGAAATGTAAAAATAAAACATTCAGTGTTCCTTTAACTCACAAAGTTAGTCAATTTAACTTTTATACTCACCTGGATTTTTGGGAATTTTGGCCATTATTCCATATAAGGTGTTACCTTTTATTCTTGTTTACAAATGATTTAAAATATCTCCACTCATTCTATTTGTAAAATATCTCTTTTTACTTCATTATTAACCTTTATAGAACATTCAAAAACAAATGTTTGCTTACAGTATGCTTACAATGTACCCTTTTTATCTGCTAGGTAAGGGTTGTTGCTGCACACCACAGAGATGCAACAGAGCCTCGGGCAAATTCAAAAATATAATCCAGAATCGAGGAACAAATAACTGTTGTGCTGCGAGTGTTTCAGAGATGGAAACAGTGCGTTCATCAGTGTACTGGGAGAGGAAGCAGAGGGCTCTGCAAGGTGAGCCTCCACCATCTGGCTCCAGCAGAGATGGTGGGAGTTACTGCATGCCGAACGGCACAAAGTCATTCACAAAGAGATGGGAAATCATTGCGGACTCTGGGGCGAGGAAGATTAAGTCTTAAAATCCAAAGTGATGGAACAGCAAAGCTAATCGCGGCAGTGAATTTCTCCGAGTGCAGATATTTAAAGCCAAGCAGGCGGAGCAGTGATACAGCAGATATGGAGGTGTTGGAGTGTCAGTGTGCCGCACAGCTGACTGACAGGAGGACAGACTGAAGAGGACAGGCCCTCTATTAGAGGACCGTATCCACTAAACATCCTCAGGCTAAAAGTGGCTCTTGAGTTAACAGCGCTAATTTTAGGATTCCTGTTCTTGGAGTAGCATTTATCCACAAGACAATAAAAGTGAAAGAGATGTTAGATCTACTCCTACGTCACTAAGGCCACATTTACACTTTGCATTTAAAGGTCCCCTATTATACTGTTTTTCATCAATATATAATAGGTCTCAGATATATACTAACATGTCTCTGAAGTGTTGGACTCGAAATACCAAACCGTGCATTGCAGCATCCCATAATCCCCTCTGTTTCAGCCCTGTTTCAAAAGTGCTGATTCTCTGTCTGTTACATTAGATGGAAATAAGGAGCCCCTCCCCACGCCCCTCTGAGAGATATTTGGTTAAAAAGAACACAATGGTGCTCTAGGAGAAGATTCAGGTGATATGGGGGGGGGGGGGGGGGGGGTTACCTTGTTGGTGATTGGCTAATGGTTACACAAGCCAAAAAATCGTTATGACATCATAAAGTGGCCAAAATCTGATCAGCTCATTTTCAGACAGGATTTTATAGAAATGGATCAGGACAAAAAGAGAGAGAATCTTTTTTCCTGAAACGTTCAGAATCTCTTTACACCGAGGGGACACATGTTTATGTAGAAAAGACATGAAAAAGTGGATTTTGCATAATAGGTTACCTTTAAAGCGTCTCACATCCTGATCAAATTCACCTTTACTTAAAGGGGACCTATCATGCAAAATGCACTTTTGTACGTCTTTTATACATGAATATGTGTCCCCGGTGTTCCAGGGAACTCACCAAGTGTCAGAAAACACAACCCTCTCTATTTTCCTCCATACCCAAATCTCTAAAAAAGGGGCTGCAACGGATCTGATAAAAACTGATCCAGATTTGAACACTGTTAAACTAAATGCAATATGTACTTGTTTCACGAGACCACAGGTGTTTGAAGACTGCCAAAGACCCCAGGAGAAGAGTCTTCTGCACTTTGGCGGTTGAGTTACAACAATAACAGTTTAGCCTGCTCAGTTTAGTTAGCTAACATCCATCAATTACCTTAAGCAAACACATCACTGAGTCATATTCTTAAACTAGGGCTAAACCATTAAACTAATGGAGGGGGCGCTGTTCTAGTCCAAATATGCTTTAAAATACCATTCATAAATCAGAAAAAGGTCCACCAGCTGTGGCTCCGGACAAACGTTTTCACCACCGTCCAAGGAGAAAACCACATTTTTAACCGTCCTAGATTACATTTAAACTGTTTTGATAGAAAAAACTATAAATTAAATCATAGAGAAAACAATCAGCGGATTAATTGATAATCAAAATACCCGAGTATCGTTGGAGTCCTACTTCACTGAAATGAAATATAGAAATAAAATATTCTAGATTCAACATGCAGATACAATCTACATGAAGAATCATCATGTACCTTTCATTTAAACGCCTGAATTCTGACACGGTTTATAGAAAAACCTAAATATTTCTTAATGAAATCAGCCAAATCAAATTCAATGTGTTCTTCTATTGCTGTGTTTTATATTCACTGACACAGGCCGGTCACCTGTCAATCATCGTGGACATAGTGATTATTTTCATTCATAAAACATGATGTATCCATGGCAACAAACCCATTTTAGCTTAGGAGGTTATCTCATCTCAAGAAGCCAAGATCTTTTAGCGTCATTGAGGAGGACTTTTGGTGATTAAAAAAGACCAATGATTGTATTTTATTATATATTTTATCTTTAGCAAGAAATGTTATGTTGTTTTCAATCGCCACGTGTTAAACCAGAGGAAACAAATTCACAAAGATGTGTGTGGAAGAGATGAAAGATAATGAAGAACCATAACTCAGCTGTTGTCTGTTAACTCTCCATATTAAAAAGAAACCACAGACAAAATGAATGGATATATATATATATATATATATATATATATATATATATATATATATATATATATATATATATATATATATATATGTGTGTGTGTGTGTGTGTGTGTGTGTGTGTGTGTGTGTGTGTGTGTGTGTGTGTGTGTGTACTTTATCACCATCCTATCACCACTGGGGACTCACTAGCTCTGATGGGCAAGTCAATGAGAGCATCTGCTTCACTAATCATCCTGTGTGTGTGTGTGTGTGTGTGTGTGTGTGTGTGTGTGTGTGTGTGTGTGTGTGTGTGTGTGTTTATTTGAACATGTGTGTAAACATTTGAATGTCTGTTAATGTTTGCAGTTCCAGGCTTCCCTTGCTTGTATTGCCTACAAATAACGCATCATTATAACAAGTTTTAATAAATAAATGACAACATGTTTACCTTGAGGTACTCTTCACAAATCCATATACTGTAAGGTGATTTATATACAAGTCCATTCAAGCAAAACCTCTTTTTAAGTTGTAAAGATTTCAGATAAAGCAACATGGTAAAGTATGTCATTACCAACTGGTTTCCTACATTGTTCTTTAACACTTGAGGTCTGTAAGAATATCTTCTGAAAACGAGCAGTTTAGCAACGGTTTGCATTACCTTACATTACATAACATGTCACTTGCTAGACGCTTTTATCCAAAGCGACTTACATATATTCAATACTGGGGACAATCCCAGCCATTTGGGGTAGAGTGTCTTGCCCAGGAACACAAAAGAATGCTGACTGCAGCGGGACTCAAACTTGCTCTCCTCTGATCTGAATATCAGCGCACGATCCCACTGAGCCACAGGTAGCCTCCCTAGGTAGGTTTAGCTAGATACGTTTAAATAGCCAACATCTATCCAAAACCTTAAACAAACGCAAATCGTGGGAAGAGCTATCTTTTTTTAAAGGCAGGGTGCACTCAGTAGATTGATCATCACCAGGTGTGACACCAAAAAAACTATTTTAACAAACACGATATTTTTTAAACAAAATAAATGATTTATTACTACGAAAAAATGTCAGTGGTCTTTGCATTCACCGTGTTGCAATCACTTTGTCTATGATGTGTTTTTTTCTGACTTGGCTGATACTTCCAATCATTACCCTTTCTCAATGTTTGCCTAGAAATGTGGTCAAATGTACATCCCATTTACATGAAACCGGCTTAGTGTTACCACAGACGAACCAGCCACTGAACAGCAGTCTCTACATCCCCAAGACTTCAGCTCCAAATCAACACATGTAATGTTTCTGAGCCACTTCTAATGAAGGATGGCACAGGGACACAGCTTCAGTCTTTCTCACTGGGTCATTGATGCCACAATATTATTACTGTTTTACTAAACACTACAACCTCCAACCAAACCCATGGAGTGTGGCTGCTTTACATGTGCTACAGCTCTCCTTCCTACTGCGGGCAAAATGTTTTCTCAGCAGCTGGCGAGCGAGGAAACAAAATAAGAGACGTATCAAGCGTGACCCGTTTCGTGACAAAGAGGAGAATAAATATCCCCGAAGCTTCAGAGAAGTGACGAAGTGATGAAAGGAGTGCTCTGTGTCCTTGGCTGTTAACATGTCTTTGAAAACAAAGGGGATGCGCTGCTGTAGAGTGAGCCTCGCTGAGCTCAAAGTGGCAGCCAGGAGAGTATTTCACATCTCAAAGCCCACATAACCACACAGTAAATCCCTGCTGAAGGATTACACACGAATGAAGGACATGTGGAAGCGCTGCAGGCACCACAACACAACGTGCGGCTGAAGAAACCTCTGATAACTCAGAACAGGGATATGAGAGGAAGGCTGGATGATTTGGAAAAACAAGTAATTGCGATTATTTTCACTCGTATTGCAATTGATATATTAATCACGATAAAAGGGAGTGTTATTTTTAAGAAGCCAAGATCTTTTAGCATCATTTAGCAGGATTTTGGTGATTAAAAAAGACCAATGATTGTATTTTATTATATATTTCTGTAGCATCACAACAGTGCAGTGGTGCAGGAATGAGTCAATATTGTATCACTTCATGTTCCCCTAACTCAAATCTAACCTTTTTTACTGAATGTGAAGCCTGAAATAAATGAGTGAATCGATTTTGTTCTAGAATATGTCAGTAAATACCACACTGGGGAATGTCTGTAGCTTTTACGTGTCGTAAAAATGTCGGTTTCTAAAAACTGTCTTAACGATATCAGGGAATTATCACTCTTGAAACATTTTACAAATCATGTTAAAAAAGTTTGAAGTGATCATGATGTGATTTTCTTTAAAAGAGGATCTGTACCAAACAAGGATTCTTCATTAAGTCAGTATAAGGAACATTTTTAGACAAGGAATGGAAGAAGGTTTTATTAAATGACATAAGTACTTCCTTTTCCATCACTGATAGTAAATGTGGGCGAGTGTGAGAGGGTAAAAAGAGGATGAGATACAAACAGAAACCCAGAAGCTCACCTTCTCGCTGTTCTTGTATTTGTCCCAGCTCTTCAACATTTTTAGCCACTTTGAGGTCCTCTCCACCTCCATGTGTTTTTGCTGAAAGAAAATAGAGATACGTTAAATATGGATAACTTCTGCTCACGTCAGAACACACTTAATTCAACATTTGTGGCTGTTTAAAATGCAGATGACGTTCATCTCTTCCATGTTTCTCATTCCCAAAAATCGATGATATCATAATATAGTATCATTATAGATAACTGGGTCAATAGAGCCTCGAAGGAATTATTCTGTGGATTTATTTATTTTATTTCCAGATGTAGGAGAAGTGCAACAAGGACGTTCATTTTACTGATTGGCATATATCAAAAGTAACATTCCTTAGCCCTTTTATATACACACATTCATATTTGTTTGAAGTACAGTTAAAAATAAGAAATGAACTAACTCACCTTCTCCTCCACTGAGTCATAGGATGGAAGTTCATTCTCACTGAGAGGAGAAGAAGAAAGAAGGAGAGAATAAGATAAATGGGTTAGGACTCATCCCCTAACCCACAGTTCACGGCTAGTTTCGTCCCTGCTGTTACTTGTCTTGTGGAACAATCATAAAACACTTCTGATGAAACACAGAGTGATATCCGGGTCAGTGCTCGTCTCACTGTGCCTGACAGGAACATCAATCATGTCAGCAGTCACAGGAACAGGAAATAACAAATCAGACGTTCCCCAGTCCTTATCTGGCATCAAAGTCTCTGCAGGAGCTAATCTGTGGAGATCTTTCTTTCATCTCTCTTCTATTATTCTTGAAAACATTATATATGTTTTCTCTTCAGGAAACGATTTGGAATTTTAAGGAATAGTAAAACAAGTCAGTGAAAGTCGTCCGTACCACACAAGTAAACTCACTGCCGAGGTCAATCCAGAATAGAGTTGAAAAAGATGAGACTGATGAGAACATTTTCCTCACATTTTCTTACCAAATGATTAATTGGTATAAGAAAACAATACAAAATTCTCTGATTAAAGCTTCTTAAATGTGGATATTTCTGGTTAATACATCTATGAAAATAAACTCAATATATTTCAGGGCATTTGAAGATGTTATCTTTGACTTTTGGGAAAAATTGTTCAATATTTTCCCCAATTTTCTGGCCTTTTATTGACCAAAAAAACTCATTATTAGAGAAAATGTACAATAAAATACATACACGTCCTGATTTTTAAAAAATTTGTTATCATGAATTCCACAATTATGCATATTCATTGCATATAGACGAATGAGGTATTACATTTTTATACAAATCAATTAAAAGAGATATGAAGTTCTGCATTTAAGGACTCAATAGTTCCGAATCAGAGTTCTTTCAAAGCAAAGAAAGTGTGAAAATATCAACCTGAATGAGAAGAAGCCCTTAAAACATGTATTCTTCCTTGAAAGCAGCAGGAGATCATGGCTCATCTGGACAGTGACCTCAGGCTACTTCTGTCTTAAACAATCATTTAACCATAACGTCCTCCAGCCTCTCTCCATCTTCCTCTAGATGTTGTGGACCGCTCCACTGTCTCCTCACACTGATGCCCTGTGATTGTGGCTCTCCAGGCTGCTTCCTGCCAGCCCATATATAAATATATGTCTTTATATAAATAACAGTCCAGCAGTGTGCCGTTTAAAAAGCCTCAGACACTCAGCAACACTGGCCTTCACAGCCTCTCATTTCCTCTCAATGCGCTGCTACTGTTCAAAGAGCTTTTTCATTCAGTTATAAGGACTAATGACGGGTTGTGTTTGTGTGAGTCTTACTGAACAAAGCCGAAGCGGTCGATGACTTTGTACAAGCGGAAGTTGGTGTCCTCCCAGGGCTCAACGGTGGCCTCCTTCCCCTAAGACCAAGGAGAGAGGGGGGGTGAACAAAATATGTATGCACTATGAATGTAACTTAAAGATTTACAGAAAGGAAACAGGCAATAATTTCTATTAATAACCCATTTCAGATCTGTGTGTCAGTACGAATATACCCAAGGGGATCCAAGCAGGCTTACTATAATCACGTGATACCTCTTGAAGAAAAACATGTTTTGTAATGGATACTGTACTCATTTCATATCATGATACCATTTGACTATGCTATTACTTTTACTACTACTAATGTACTTACTACTTTACTTAATAGTATATTTTTTTTGTCATATGATCTGCCTTCTACTCTCCATTTTATCATTTTAAAAGCTAATTTAAAACTTTAAATAAGAAAAAATAAGTTAAGATGTACTTCTAGATGTATAAAAAACACTGTAAACACCAAAGTTTCACTTATAAAATAGTGAGTAAATAACCTGGATGTGAGAGTACAAATATATAAAACTGAATATGGTTGCCTATGCAAAAAAAATAAATCAATTTTGATAAAAGATAGTCAAATAATAATAATACAGGAACTGAGTTCGGGGGCTTTCAATGCAAATCAGCTCTTTCAAGACGTCCTGATGAAGATATGATGGACAATTTTGAGAATTGTATATAAATTGATGAGTTAACTCATCCAAAAATTAATCAAAAATGTTTTTAAATCATGTGTTACAGCCCTGTGGTTTCTCTGACCCTGGTTGTGCGCTGAAAAAAACAGAAAATGGACTTCTTATTGAGCTCCAAATGACATGCCACCCACGTTCTTCAGGGACAGAGACTCATGTTTTTATTGGCTGATACTTCAGGAGGGAAGCCACGACTACCGCGCCCTTGTGAGAGTGTGTCAGCTCAACAGTGTGTTTATGAGACACAGAGAAACCGTGTGTGTGCGTGCGTGTGTGTGTGCGTGTGTGTGTGTGTGTGTGTGTGTGTGTGTGTGTGTGTGTGTGTGTGTGTGTGTATGTGAGCAGATATTAACAGGTGTGAAATGAAGTGCCAGACGCCCACCTGCGTCACCGTCTGACTGCAGGCCACAGAAAGAGCAGCTCTAGTTAATTCACCATCATGGACCAATGACAGAAAAAAAACCCAATAAGAGTGTGTGAGTGTGTGAAGACGGATTATGTATAGGGAAGAGCAGGGGGAAAGAATAATGAGAGAATCAAGGTCAAGAAATGTAAGAGAATCACTGACAAGCCCACACAATTCTAGCCTTGTTGTCAGTTGTGGTTCCTATAATGCTTTTAGGAATGTAAACAGGAAGTATAATGTGTTTTTTTAAACCTTTAGGGCTTTTTATATACACATATTATTCTATTATGTAAAGAACAATTGTGTTGCAATCTTATTTTTCATCAATTGATACAGGAAAGAAACCCCTCAAACTTAGGATTCACTTTCATATACTTAGATTTGCGTTTATGGGAGCACAATTTGCTAATGTTAAATCAATGTATTGTAGATCCTAAATGTGTGACTTGAGATGGATTTGAGCCTTTAGACTTTACACTTTACGAATCACAAAGATTACATTTATTTAAAAAGTGTGCCATGGATCAATTTCCTAAAGCGACAAACTATTACATGATTAATTCCCAGCAAGTTGACAGTGAATTCCCAAGATCTATCCCAGTCTCTAAAAGTCAAAGGGGAAGTTTTGTTTGGTATAAACAGGCTTGAAAAAGCAATAAATCTCCATATTTAAGAGGCGGAAACAGCCTTTTCTTACAGCCGTTAGTCGATTAATGGCTGAGGCAGTACTTCACAAACTACTACTGAAACTTTAAACATGTCTGCCACTGACTTTCCTACAAACATATAACGTACACAGCAACAGAGACAGAAGTGCGGTTTCACAAGTCAGTCTGACTAGATGTCGAGGTGAGACATTTCTAAATTCATCTCCTCCATCAGCAGAAACACACCAGCTAAATAACTCGAACACATCCATGAAGGATAAAAAGGCGTCAGTGCTTTATTCCTCCTCCTCACACTCTCAAATAAAGAACCTGACATAATTCAGCTGACATTTATCTGTTCTCTCTCTGCTTTAGAATCAATGTGAGGGTAAAGTAGAGCTGCAATGTGAGGGCTCAGCGTTCCTGTGTGTCAGAGATCTGATCGACTGCTCCTTTTACTCACTGTTCAGGATTTCTGCAGTTTATTAACAGATTCATAACAATAAATCAATTACTTTTTTCTCCTCCTGACTCCATATCATAAAGCAGTTCTCCTTCTAACAGCCTCTCAGAGCCACATTTTAGAGGCCTAAAATATTTTTTAGAAGTTAAACTGTTCAACACAAAAATAAGCAAAGACTTTCTTCTCTGGTACTTAACTCTTAACTTGACCCTTTTGGATGAATTGATGAATATTAAATGTATTGCTCTTGCAATTTTATTATTTCAAATGTATTTATCATAAGTTTGATCATTTCATGATCTCTATTGTTTGTATTTTATTGTATTTTTTGTATACATCTAATACCTTTAGTATACCTTTTAGAGCTATTTGATATGCAGACACACTTTATATAACTACAAATATTGTCTTAGAATGTTTTGATATTGTTAATGTCTCCTTTATATTATTATTTTATATAATTTGTAAGGGATAAGAGGGCCAGGGAAATATGTAGTTAATTGCACTTGAATGTAAAAGTGTTCGTTTATTGTAAATGTCAATAAACTTGAACTTAGACCAAAGATGTATAAGGAAGCATGTAGGAATATTTATTAGATTGCTCTTGCCTTCATTTTCACACCAATGTTTTTTTGGATCCTATAATGTTTGTGATTAATCTATTGATTCAATGTATGGGAGAAGAAACACACAACAGTCAGTAAACAAGGAACAACACGCTTCATTCCTGCTCTTTCTGCAGAGAGGATAAATCATTTTTAATATCTACATAAACGCGGGGTGTTTGGTCGCCTTGATAACCGACTTCATTAAACTCCTCCTAACACACAGCGAAAACGACACTGATTTAGCTCTGATTGTGCGTCATTGTGACACACACACACACACACACACACACACACACACACACACACACACACACACACACAACACACACACACACACAACACACACCACACAAACACACACACACACACACACACACACACACACACACACACACACACACACACACACACACACACACACACACACAACACACACACACACACACACACACCACACACACACACACACACACACACACACACACACACACCACACACCACACACACACACACACCACACACACACACACACACACACACACAACACACACACACACACACACACACACAACACACACACACACACACACACACACACACACACACACATCTCCGCTCTCCATGGTCTCTTCACTCCTAATGAGGCACCGTGATTATGCAGCCTGCTGGACTAAATTAAAAAGACTAATTTACAAACCGAACGGGGTGGGCTGCTTCCACTGATACCACCGGCCGTAAAATAGAGGTGTCATTCAGGAAACACGGCCTGGATGGCCTACCTGCCTGTCAGCCTTCCATCTGTGCACAAACTTATCTCATGCCCTCATTGGTCATGTGCGCGTTCGTGTGTGTTGGAGGAGGGGCTCTGTAAGGAAGTGGCAGATTTTCTCCGGTTGTGTATTTTCAAATTCTAGCGCACTCGAGCTGGTTTCTCCGAAATTACCTACCCCACCTTTAAGTATATCAAAACAGTAGGTAAGCACAATACTTTAGTACTTGAATAGTACTGATATATATTCCACCACTGTGAGTAAGAAAAATGAAGAAAATAGAAAGCGAAAAAAAAGAAAATAAATGGGGAAAAAATTATAAAAAGAAACAGGAAAAAAAGGGGGAAAAAAACAAAATGTCACCCAACGTTTTTTTGGATAACGTATGCTTACTGCTGGGAGTGTTTAACATACCTTGTCATATTTGGCGACTATCTCGGCGCGCTCCTGGGCGAGTTTCACCGCCGCATCCTGATCAGACGCTGCAGAGCAAACAGAGGAGGCAAGGAAAGATGAATGCGTGTCAACAAGTTCAAATAAAAACAGCTGTGTTCAACAGCGATCACACTAGTGTTGATGTTTATATTAGCATGTAATGTGAGCATAACAATGTGATATGTAACATTTGGCATGTTAGTTATTCACTGCTTCAAAATATTTTCTTGAACAAGTTTTTTTTAAGAGTTCTGTTTTTCTAAATTTCTATACGTGAATGCAGAATTTTCAAAAGTGTCGTCAAATAGAAAGTAAAATCTCTACTGTGTACAGTTTAGGTTTTACCTACAGTATACACATTTCGGGCAATTGTACATTTTTTTCAATAGTTAGTGACCAAAATATTAGGTTTCAAACCGTAAGTGTCTTCAAATTCACAGATGCGTCTTTCACAGTAAACGACTGACAAGAAAAAGCTAGTACACTATATTAGCATTCATCTCAAAGTAGATATATATGAGTGTCCTTTGATGATTTGAAGTGTTTGTCAAGAGAAAAGTGATTGGATCGCCAAAATGAATGATTGACCGACATTTAAACAGACATTTCCACCACTGAACCCACATAGCTAATGTCAGCATGACCAAAAAACTATTAAAACCTCAACAACTAGGGTGCATGGATGTAGACAAGTAGCCTCACTAAAACAGCAGTAAAATGAAGTATTTATTGTTGAAGTTTGGTTAAACAAAACTGCCCCCTTCTTGTAAGATTTCAGAGGTGTTAAAACTGTTGTTGCTTCTCTCTCCACACACACATTATTCTATCATCTCAGTCACGCTTTGTGTTACTTCCTCTCAGAGCTGACGTGGACAACACACACTTCAAAACCCAGCCAGAGAAAGGCCAGCGTGTCAGCTGACCTCAACTGAGGAGAATAATGTGTGTGTGTGTCTGTGTGTGTGTGACGAGGAGCTCCTTTAAATGGACAGCTGTTGTGACCGAGAGACGTCACACACACGGGCACAGAAAGCTTTTCTGTGTTTGTCGAGGCACATTGTGCGAGTGTTAATGTGTTTATTGTCTGATAACACACTCACCTCTAAATAAGCATTTCCCACGCACATTCACACACACTTCCTGATACAGCCAACCGTGAGAGGCTCGAAACATCGGATGTGTGTGAATAAAGCTGGCACACATTTTATTAAGTGGGGTCATGTTGTGTTGATGTTAAGTTTAGAGTGCGGCACCTAGTAATGGAGGCGGATAATGAATCATATAAACACTGTATCAGAAACAAGCCGTCACAATAGACACCCTGCAGAGGAGAGAATATAACATATCATATAAAAAGTTATAGCTTTTGGTTTTTGCCAGACAAAAGAAACAGTGCTACTCAAAAATAACAAGTAGTCTCTTTATTTGTATTTCAAGTGTTGTCACCTGCTTTTTTGCACAAGAGGTGCAATTTCAAATCCAATGGCAGTATTTGCACAAGTAACGCAAAAATCCATTTTATATTTTAGTCGGAAACATCTTAACTTTGAATCGCTTTGAAAGTGAAGCGTTACAGGTCTGACCTAGTAAGTATGCCTTTGTTTTCAAATACAGTACAAATTAATAAGCATTGCTTCTTTGCTCCAAAAGGGAGTAACACAAACAAAACTGGAGCAATGGAAAGATGCAGAATTTAGGCTTAACTGTTCAAAAACTGTTCAAAAAAGAAGGAATTTCTGTCAAATTACCAATCTTTACTCCCTTCATCATGCACATAAATCGTTTTTATATTCTACTCGACTTAAGACACTGATATCAGTACAAACTATCACTTATAAACATAATAATCTCAAACTCCTGGCTTTTCCAAAACTTCCTCTCAGGGTCCGACGGGAGGAATTCCAAACCGCTCTGAACAAACATACTCCTTATTGAGCCGGCTGGCATTTTAATGACAGGATGGTGTGTGTGTGTGCGTGTGCGTGTGCGTGTGCGTGTGCGTGTGTGTGTGTGTGTGTGTGTGTGTGTGTGTGTGTGTGTGTCGCTGTGGGCTGCAAGAGTACACCCATTGGTATAAAACACTGGGGGTGGGGGGTGGTCAAATAAACAAATACAGTAAAGCCCTTTTCTGCTGGGAATTCCTTCCCAAGAGGCCCCTGGGTTCCCATAGAGAGAGGAAAGGAATTGTGGAGGAAATGGGATGCAGTTTCAAGCCTCAACTTTGAACCCCTCTCAGCCCTATTAGTATTCCACAGGAGCCCCACTCGAGCTAAATGCAATTAGACCCCTTTTCATGCTTCAAGGATCACATTGGCATCCGTGGCGGAGATTATGGGGTGTGTTTGTTTTCATATGTGGCCGAAGACTTCTCGTAGTGGTCCACAGAGCTATAGCCATTTGTAGGAGACCCCCAGTGAGTTAAAGTTAACAGGGGGTTTTATTTGAGTGGCTCAGAAGGTGTTTAAATAATGTGCCCGTAAAGAGGACACTGGAGACGAGAGGTTAAAATTGATGGGAAGATTATAAGAAGATAATTAGACATTTTCTCAGTAAATTGGGTACTTTTTTTTTCATTTCAGGGAGAGTAAGCTTTACCTGTCGACAGTTAATCCTAGTTTAAGAAGCATTCATTTTCCCAATAAACATTAAATGCAAATGACAAGAAAACATAAATATTCTTTACTTACATGGAAATATGTCAATTATTGTATGGGCTTCCATTACATTTTGTGTAAACATACAAGGTACACAGGGGATTGATCATATTGACTTTGGATATTGAAATTGGTTTGACCAAATTAAATGTTTGATCAAATACGTCTTATGAACCAACAGATGAATCGAGTAAATATTCCCCAGAATGATCTTTTCTTAAAGTCCTTAACTTGAAGGTCAATCAAAGCGCAACATTTTTCCATTGGTAAAAACACTTCTTTCTGCCCAGTGATCCCCTGAATTGTAATGGGTTCTACATTGGCCCTTATGCTGCACACTTCCACCAAGTTTCATGAAAATCAATACATACATTTTTCCATAATCCTGCTGTCTGACCTACACATTGAAAACATAATGGCAAAGGCTGTGGATTGTATGGAAACTATTTGAAACCTCACAGAGAAACTAAAACCTCTTCATTTCTTTTTGTATTACTTTCACAACATCAATCTCAAACAACTCAGTTCTACACACTGCAGATACAAAGAGTAATCAAACACAATCAATGCAACACTATTATATTCTTGTCTTCGCATTTGACCAAATCTTCAGTTGCAAGTAAACGAAGAAAAAAGAGGATAATATGTGTCGGATGAGACATATCACAGTCCAATCTGATTCTGCTGGCGACCACTACAGTGCAGGCTGTGTGACAGGAAGTGTTGTGGGGTATATTTGAGTGTTTGTTATTCATCTTTATTGCAACAAACAACACGACGAGAATAATCACAGCCCTCATCATTTCCTCTGCTCTCCTGAAGCCTCTTTGGGCTGCAGTAATGAGGACTCTTTGTTCTTTATGTTAAGGAGTCATTACAGCTCTTTGCTCCCCTGCAACCGTCATTTCCTCGCCCTCTCATAGACGCTAAAAAAGTGGAATAATTATAACGGTAATAATAGTGGAGAGGCTGGTAGGAGATCTTACCTAGGTCAGCTTATTATGAGCTCACTTAACATGCAGGAAAAATCCAAGTGAACACGAAGAAATCATCATTGAAGCGGTATGTGAGGATTTCTTAATGCTGCAATCAATAGCATGTCCCTTGTGACGTTAAAAAAAGCAGATGTCAAGCGTAGTCAATATAGATCTTTGTTTTAAACTGAATTACACAGATTTTTATTCCTCAGATTTAAAGAGAGTGATGTGTTTCTCCGACCAGGCTCACATTATGCACTTTTGCACACTTTCCTATGCTTAAACTGAGACTTGTGTGCACGTTTAATGCAAGGACTATCCACTTTTGCATAGATTTGTATCAGTTTTCTATCAAATCTGTGTGTATTAGAAATAGTAGAAAAAACTGTTGATTCTTGCTGTTTGGAAGTGCAGTGATGCCATAGTCTACAAAATATAGTTATATTATTGTTTAATGAGTTTCCCCTTGACAGTCATACATTCTACTTTACTGTAGTTTTTAAGAATGTAAGTGTAATTGAGATTCATTCTATTAAAATACAGAATCTGAGGTGGACAACATCAATTGAAACCGTTTTAAATATGCTATTTAATTTCTCAACAATGCAGAAGCAATGATGCTAATTTAGGCAAACCTGAAACATGTAGCACCATTATATGAAATAAACCTCAGCACACAAACACCAACACACACACTGAGACCAAATGAAGTCACCACTAATGACACAACACTTCACAGTTCACTGTTATGTGTCATTACTGTGCTGCCACAACAGTCATCTGTCTCACCCGGTCTGTATTTCCAACCTGAACCCGACCACATGTTAGCATGCTAACACGTAGCACACCTCGCAAGAGTCACCCTTTAACCAACTGATGAGGCAACTGCAGACTAAATCTGCGTGTTTGTGTTAGCTAATGATATATATTTAGCATCCTAATATTGGTACATTACATTTGGTGGCTGAGTGTTAGCACATAATAGCTTACTGTCTGCACTCAGCACTGGTCTGCTGATGAACGGGTGACATCATTTTGTGTTGGTGTGCAACATCACAGTCACGTCTTACTTGTTGCGTGTTATTAGCATGTTATTTTAGTTTTATAGTATTACATTTTAGTCGTTTTTATTTTTGTACAATTTTTCTCACTAGCTACATTGCAATAAAAGGGCACAGGAAATGCTAAACAAACCATCATAAACATTAACATACACTGAAAAAAGAAACCTCAACTTTAATTAAATGTATTATGTCGACAGGTTCAACATAATTGTATTATGTTAATAGAAAGCAAAAGTATTAACTTGAACCTATTCTTTTTTTATTTGAACTTAACATTATTGGTTTCAATCAATTATGTGTAATTTGTTTACATAATACATTTATTTAAGTCAAAGTATCCCAGTTTTTCAGT